ATCCAGAGTGATGAGGTTTCAAATTGTTTTCAAACTATTATTATTATTATTGTCCTTGTCTACTCTTACCTCCGCCCAATTTCCAGTCTAGTTGACCTTTTATTTTTACATATAAATGTTCTTAACAAGTATATATGTGTGATCGGATTGTTCGAAATGTATTGCGCTAATATATCATCACATAATTCTGATAACCTTCGTCTTCTTATTACACTGTCGAAATTTATCAAAGGGACTAATTGCTTTAATACGTTTTTAATTACTTAATTAAAATCCAATATATTATTCAATGGACAAACAAATAGACTACTGAAAACACAATTTCAATGATGAACTGTCTAATGACCATTATGAGTTTCGTCATAAAGTTTTTTTTTAAAATCTTCAATTACATTTAAAAGAATTTAATTCATTGAAAATTCTCTTTGATATTTGGAATACTTAGTTTCATTTGTAAAAATATGGGATAGACTCATGAACATTGAAAAAACCTAATGATCAGTGAGGTGTAGCATTGAATTTCGTAATAATGCTACCCTAGGTAAAAATTGTTTATATTAAAATGATACCTACTTCACATATGATGATTTAGGATTATGATAAGCGAAAAGTAAGTTTCAAGTGTATAAAACTAATATCTGTTGGAACGCATATATTCAATGACAACAGTAATGTCTTGAAGCTTTGACTTTCTTTTAAATTCAAAATGTTGAGTCAGTTATGATAAATTTACATAAAAGAAAGTGAAGTTTCATATATTAACTCTCAAGTATATTTGTTGAGGTAGAAAAACCAAGTAACATGATTTTCCTAATTCAAGAAATAAGCACTGATCCCGTGACGATCAAACGTAAAAAACTAGTTTTTCATGTTACTAATTTTATCGGTAATCAAAGTCTCAGCTGTTAGCTACTGAAGAAGGAAATAACTCAATGATTTATAAAACTCTCACCAGTTGAATAATTTATATTTCTTCCGACACAGCACCCGGTTTGATAATGTCTAAGTTTAGAAAATAAATTATACCGTATAGATTTTATCAAATCGTGTCACTGGATTCGTATAAAAAATTGCTTAATGGAGTTAATATTTTTAACTGTATCTTCCCATTGTTGTTTAGGTTTGCAACTGATCAGTCTCTTGTTAGCATATATGCATCCTATGCGGACTGCCTCGATAATGCCTTAAGTTACAAGCATTATAAGCAAATATGGATGGTGGCTAGTAGTGGAATCCAAGACGCTGGAGGTACCTGGACTAAAAGAATTAGAAAACATTTCTGAATGGATTGTTTGTCAGTTATCATTATGACTTACTATCCTATCCCCGTCGCCAGTTGTTATATCGATTGCTTGAGTGCGTGCCCTGTTTAGTATATGAACACCCAATTAGAGAGCAGTGAATTTATTGATCGCCCAATGATGCAAAAATTTGTATAAGCAGTCTTGAGCACTTATCAGTCCTGCTATCTGCCTAGCCCAGCCAGTTAAGTCCAGAACACCAATAATAGCCTCTGCAATATGAATCATTATTCTCAAACATGCCGGGTTTATATACCAAATAAACTGACCATATCGTACCATAAAATAGAAAATAACATTTGTACAAGATTTGGCCAAATGTGGCTGTGAATGTGGGGAACAGTTTTTAATGGGCTAGGGATAACTCGAGGATGGTAAATCGTATAATAATAGTCTATAGGTCAAAATAAAGCTCATAATAAGAGAAACATGAATATGAATAGTTAAATTACTTAACAATTACACAGTAGGAAATTTACATATATTAGTCCATAAATAGTCCTCAAAGCTACCATTCATAATTTTGCACGGGATAAAACAATATTCTGAAACCGAACAGACACTCGTGGATATTCTTTTTTTCGTCAAAAAGTGATTGAGAAAAGATTTACAAACTATGTCTAGAAGCATAGTTTAAAATCAAATAAAAGGAATTTCTTCACTTTTAATTTAATATGATTTTATATTAAACATAAAAACTCGTCTATACCAGGGTAGTAGTCTTGATATCATTAGCGTATATGCATTCATGAAGCAAATCAATCAATCAAATACTGATAATCCAATTTTGAACGGAATATATAAATCACCTGAACATTTACTATTCACTGTAAACCGTTACATTTTAAATTCTAGTCAATTGTTTGATCTAATCACAAGGAGGTTCTTGTGGAGATTTTAGTAATTTTATCTGGTTAAGATCATTAGTCAATTGAGGCTAGACCACCATGGAAATCCTGGAAGCACTGGACGGCAGTTTCATCCTATTGTGGGACTCCTCAACGGTGCGCATCCACGATCCCACCTCGCAGGATTCGAACCCAGGATCTACCAGTCTTGCGCCGGAGCACTTAACCGATAAACCACTGAGTCGGCATCCAACGATGTTAATGTCTAACCTCAACCAATCCACGAAATTACGCGATCAACTTCCATTGTACTGAGGTAGATACCTGTCTCTACCTGACATGGATTAGCTACACTGGCCATAACTTCTCACTCGAACTCCAGGAATTACTTCATAGAGCCAGTCACTAGTGGGTTCGAATGTATATATGTTTGTCGAGTCCTTGGTTTGGATCGAATTCTATCGGTTAGGTAGTATTGTGGTCAATACCTTGATTGATTCGAAATCGCTTGTACTATATTTTGATGTCAGTTGGCTGTATATGGTCAGCACAAACCTTGGGAGTAGGTTCCGGTCTAGTTAGCACTCGTTTATGAAACGAACCTGACATATTCTTGAAACTAATGCTCTCAGAGGAATTCGAAAACACCTCGTATCGTTATGCAGTCTGAGAGGCTGTGGTTTGGTTATTTGGGTGGCAAATAGGACAAATACGGTATTGGTCACTAATAAGTAATCAAGCAACTGTAAATATTGCAAATTTACGGGAGATCAGTCGCAGACCAAATGACTCATTAGTAATGTCATGAACTTTGAAGCTAAGTGACTCGGGATTAATACTATAGGCACACCATGCTAACGAGTGCCAACTAAAGAGAAATTCAGACCCATGATTTCCCTTTAACTATTAAGTATCAGTTTCTTTAGTATCGTGGCTTTACATACCGATTTGATCGAGACATAAATAGTATCATTAATAAGGTGAATTAGCCCAAAAATGTTTATTTTAGTATCGATATTAAACAAGTTGTTTTTTAATTGTAAATGATAGTGTTTTCTTTCTCTAAAATCAATAGAACTCTTATTCTTCACCAAGAATATTATTAATTTGAAGTTTTATGCAAGGGGCGTACTCACTCCAAAGAAACTCAACAGATTATTGAAGATCAACAATCACAACTTTGTAGTAAAACAGCGATTCGGAAGAACACATTACAAAAACAAAAAAGCTATTCACTTTCTGATAACTGAGTTATTATGGTCATGTAGATTTGATGATTTGAATTTTAAATCCAGTACAATCTGAATGTCAATAGTGATTTAAGAACGTTGGAAGAAACGAAATGGGAAATTTCCCTTCTTTCAATAGATGATTCACAAATATAACATTTTGAACTAAAAGCAGAGAAACTAGTTTCCAACGGTTTATCTTAGATTCATGAATTTCGAATTATGTTTAGAAAATGAACAAGCACATAATTTCATACATATATTCTTGTTTGTAACAACAGTTTGCAAATTCTAGCAAGATTTAAAACAGTTGATAAAGAAGAATAGTATGGCTATCAATAGAAAATATTTTGTCAAGACAGTTACTTTCAGTCACTCTTTCTGTATTTGTTGCCGTTGTTCCCTTCATATCTAACTTTGCTTACTGAGCAGTAACCTTGCTAATTTACACAATATTATGACAACGGTGTCAAAATAATATCTCTTTAATGTTGTATTGCACTCATATGATTTTACTCTTTTGATAACTATACACTACCATACAGAATGTTTCTTATACCTTTCTTGTACTACTTTTTTTTCTTTAATGAACAGACACTATACGAGGATCCAATACGTAATTGACGCGAAAAATATTTATGACAACAAGTAAATTGATGTTTGTAAAACAAATTTTGATGTACGAAGTATTCTGGTTAACATGATATCATATCTGTGTCTTCAAAACCAAAATCTTGAAGATGAAGATATATCTATCCATATAAACTCTAATTATTTATTTTAAAAATCCCTTGCTTTTGAAAATTACTTATTTGTCCCTGTTACCTCTCGTGGAGGAGCACAGGCCATCTACCAACATCCAGTTTTGTCCTAGTCAATTATCTCAATTTCATTCCAGTTGCTATTCACCTTCCTAATGCCTGCTTACAATACTCGATTCAGTGTGTTCTTTGGCCTTCCGCTTTTAGGTTTCCCTTCAGAATTCCAAGTTAGTCCTTCCCTCGATGTGTGTCGTACTCACTTTCAACGTCTGTATCTGCATTTGTTCGTGTGTATGAGATATAAGGGCTAGGTCCTCTGTGAAGTCCAAATCTTCTAACTAATTCCGAGCTATCAATTGTATTCCGTCATTCCCATCAAATGTCGAAATCTTCATAATCCAGTCAGTCACCAGAAGAAAGAGAAAGGGAAATTGTAGACAGCCTTGTCTGACTCCGGTCGTTACTTGGAATGCACTTGTCAGCTGTCCTCCATGCACCACTTCACATTGTAGTCCGTCGTATGAATTCCAGATGATGTTGAAAATTTTCTCAGATACACCATAGTGCTGATGAAGTTTCCATAATGTTTTCCTGTCCACACTGTCAAACGCCTTCTCATAGTTAATGAAGTTGATGTATAGTGACGAATTCCATTAAATCGGTTGTTCAACGATGATCCGTAATATGGCGACTTGGTCTATGCACGACCTATGTTTTTAAACATATTTACTTGATTTATATTCAAATTAATTAACAATACTTTAGAATAATATTCCAATTTTTTCATTGGTGGAAAATCCTAAAAATGGTTATCAACGAATAAGATTAACTCATTTTTATCCAACTATCAACAATTGGATACGATTATGCAATTAATAGTGAAAAAGAATGATAATTTCCTTTATAAATTAGTGTTTCAGTCGTTATTGAATTACAAATAATAATCTACGTTAGCCCTATATAGTTGGAACAGACAAAGTTACTACCCAGTCAGCAACTTCATATTATAATAAAAACACAATTGAAATCTGGAAAAAAAATTGTCCTATAAAAAAATTATTAATACACGAAATTCATCATTATTAACCAATTGTAGTTAGCTCCATTTTTTGAAATTTTGTGAAATAACTATGTTTTACAGTATAGCTATTTTAAAGATTATTTTAATAACAATGTATTTCAATTATCTGGTTGCATACAGAACAATAAGAAGCGATGAAGAAGTGAAGCATTATTCTGAAGACGCACGTAAGTTTCACTTTTATGAAAATAATAGTTTAACAAAATGAAGGTCTTCAAGTTTATCTTATTTTTTAACATATCACCATGTCATTAGTGGCTATCAAGACTCAGTATCTAAGTGGATAACGAGATGGCATTTTAAGTGGTCGGTATTGGGTTCGAGTCCCCTGATAAACGTGAACTGTGGGACGAAGGTACTACCAACTGACAAGTCCCAAATAGGACTAAACGTACGTCTTGGATTCCACTGCTAACAGCCAACCATATTTGCTTATAATGATTGTGACTTAAGACAATATCGAGACAATCCGTACATGATTAACATATATGATTTCTTTTAGCAAAACTTTTGATTTATTATACATAACAAAGCTAGAATTTTCATCAAAATAGTCATAAATTATGTTAACCGTCTTTTAGTTTGTACCATTAACTTAAATTTTGAGCAGTTAGTTTGTGTTCAGTTTTAAAAAATATATATAGTGTATTTGAAGAAAAGTTAAAGTCTACTTCCGCTTCATTATTGATAATAACAGCTAAGGAAATATTGAAAAATTGAGAGTACTGGACAATTATCTAATCCTAAAATGAAACTTCTATGTCCATTTATGTCATTATAAAATTGGCGGAGATCAAAAACAAAACATTCAGATCGCAAAGCAGACATTAGTTTTATACGATATTTTTAATGAGAAAGTGCTAACAGATAACTTTTTATAACATTGAATAACAAAAAACTACTGTTACTTGATTCTGATTCATTGACGTGAATGTGATAGGTTTATGGTGAAGTCCGAGACACAAATAAAAACAAAATATCTCTTCAATGTCTCAGCTCATTTTCGGTAATTATTTAGTTGATATTAATCTTTAGAGAAAATGAATTTAAACAAAGAATGATTTCCATAAGCTCTTCAACGAAGACGAAGTTAGTTCATACATTTATCATACTTTTGGGAGAAGTTATTTTCTTTTCAATATACTGTTCTCTTCAACATAAAACAAAAAAGTTGGTAATACGAAGTTTTAAAGTAGTTACAACGAAACACCAGTAAAATTAACTTCAATAACGGACTTTTCTGAAGATTTTCTTTACGTAAGAATATTTTGTAAAATGATACATTCAATTCAAACACACTTCAGAATCAAAACATATCAAACAGTTAACATCAATTATTTTATAAACATAGAGATAAGTAATTTCATTTTCTCCATAAAATTAATGATAATGTTAAGAATAAATGCTTAATAGGATTTACTGAAGAGAAAGGATTGATTGCATAATACTCCTTTTGCTTTTCCATCATTGTTCCTAAAATATTATGGTTCCTATGGTGTATCATATCATATCATTCAGTGCTTCCAACAGTTAATAATGTAATAGTTAGGTGATGAAATATAATTTTGAATTTATTAAAAGTAATAACTGATGTCTGGCACTTAACGTTGGAAAAATATAAAACTTCAGTGACTCTCTATGTTCCAAATCTATACAAATGGGTACCGGTAATGACTAACATCAAGAAAATGCACCCAAGCCTTACTTTAATTAAATGAGCTTTGAACTCAAAATACACATTAATTCACAAGTTATTATGAGTAAACTCTCTGATACACTTGATTATCATTCTGAACAATCGGATGTAAAGAACATAGAATCTTACCAGTGCGTTCGTACTGTTTTTTATTCAGGCAGGAATTTTTTCCCTAAAATTAACCAGATTGTCTTTCCAAATAAGCTTTTTGAATTATGTATCATGAAATGAATTGATTGAAAAGTGTATTAAAATCGTTACAATCAGACCTTAAATACTTTTCACTTAGTGATTATTTGGTAGTAAAACATGTACCTAGCATACGTTCATTATATTAGGCAGTTTAATTCCGAGGCTATGTGACAAATAGTTGACTTTTTAAAAGCTCTTCACAGTTCAGTAGTTCAACATGGTGCATTTTTGGCTTCCTGGCAGAGCTAAATACTTATCATTTTCTAAACCTCTGATTATTATTTTAAATTTTGGTTTCAATAAATACATTTTGTTTGCCAGGTGGTAGTTATTCAAACAAACTCCTAACAAGAATAACAACTTTCGATTATCAGAATGAAGCTTTAGGAGATACATCTATTTCAGCAGTGTCAATTTATAGTAATGTTTTCATTTTAAATTGTCCACATTTCAAAAGTGATTAATAAATTAAAAATTGTTCCCTCAAACAAGCTGGACTATACTCATTCAGCTTTATTTTCCATTTTAATCACTCGATTAATATCATCATATGTAAATGTTGCCAAACTTATCACCTTACATTACTTTTATTCGATAAATCTTTTGATCCGTATCAATATATATTTCCAAAACAGATTTCTGTCAAATGGATATCGTTTCTGTAGACTTTAAATAGGAATAATATATTTTCAAGGAATACCTTGAAAAAACTTGGATCAGATTGCCAGGCGAAACGTTGGATTTACTTCAAATTCATTCGCTGAGATTTTACAAATACATTCTTCTTCTTATTTAATGTCTTACATCAACTCAGCGCTCAAATACTGTGAAACTATTCTCTCTAATTTAGACGAAAGTTCTTATTTATGTTTTTTGTGTACTGTTAGTTAATTGACAAATTATGTAGTTGATGTGATACAGGTTAATACAAAGAAATTTACATAAATAAAAAATAACACGTATTTTTATGACCTTATAGTTGATTGATAAGTATACTAAAGTGAATGAGATGGTCAAGTTAAAAAATGAGCTTATATGATCAACTGATGAATATTAACTGATTTATTATCAGAGGAAAGAACCGCTACTCATTTGTTTAACTTAGATGAAAATATCAGAATATCATTTACCTATAAAATAGTTGACCTAAATATTTAGTTAACAAGTGAAGTATTGATATCAAAATAGTCAATAAAGCTTGTTTTCTTCATGTTTTTCAAATCTATAAAGTAATTCGTATAAACTATTAGATAAAGGAACTGATATGAAATAATTATGAATTTAAGAGCATATATCTGTGTTCTAATTAAAACAGTCAGTAAATGAAACTGTTTTCCAGCATTTGTTTTGAATAGATTTGTAGAAATATCTTGATAGTATGGGTTAATCAGCAAAAGAAAACATTCTATTTTCTTGCAAGGTTTTAGTATAGTATGGTTTGTAAATCTTATTCACATTTTATTACTCCCCTGAAAAAAACCTAGAAAAATTTACGGAGTACATTATACCTACTATATACCTGACGCCCGATTTCTGTCGAACTATTCATTCAAATTTCAACGAATATTCAGGCAAAATATACCTGAGTTTCAAAATTCCATACAGATCAAGGATTACTAGCGTTGACTTGCGTTATACACCGGACTATTAAATACAAACTTTCAGCTTCGTATCAATTTTCATCTTTTACAGTTTATCAGAAGGGGGTTTCGTGGAGATTTTAGTAATTTTATATAGTTGAGATCATCAGTCAATTGAAGATAGACCTCCATGGAAATCCTGGAAGCACTGGACGGCAGTTTCGTCCTATTGTGGACTCCTCACTAGTGCAAATCCACGATCCCACCTCGCGGGATCCGAGCCCAGGATCTACCAGTCTCGCACCAGAGCACTTAACCGATAAACCACTGAGTCGGCATCCAACGATGTTAATGTCTAACCTCAACCAATCCACGAAATTACGCGATCAACTTCCATTGTACTGAGGTAGATACCTGTCTCTACCTGATACGGATTAGCTCCACTGGTCACGACTTCTCACTCGAACTCCAGGAATTACCTCATGCGGCCAGTCACTAGTTTAAGTTAGACATTAACACCATTGGATGCCGACTCAGTGGTCTATCGGTTAAGTGTTCTGGTTCGAGACTGGTAGGTCCTGGGTTGGAATCTCGCGAGTTGGGGTCGTGGATGCGCACTGTCGAGGAGACCCACAATAGGATATGACGGCCGTCCAGTGCTTCCAGGTTTTCCATGATGATCTAGTTTCAATGAACTGATGATCTCAACAATATAAAATCTCACAGTTTAGTCAAACAGATAGTATACCTATTATTCAACGACAACTAAAGCCTGACTCATTACCAACTATGTAGGCTAACTTGATTCCATAAATGAATAAAAGTACCCAAAACAAATTCTATGATTTGTCACAGGGTTTACAAGCGGTAGTTAAAATATATTAAAGATACATTTATAGAGATTTGATTACAACCTAATCTTATCTTTAATAAAGTTATTTCAGCTAATTTATAATGACTGATCATTTAGTAATTTTTAATATTGAATGAAATATTTATTAATTTTGTCTTAAATAATTCAGAAAAACATGGAGAGAAAAAAGTAGTAACTACGTTATTCTAAGAGTTGGATAACGTTGAAAAATAAAAAAACCCATCTTGGTTCAATTTGACATAACATTGTAATCAACTAATATGCATGTCGAAATATCTTTCACTCAAAAGGAAATATAGAATGATTAATGATTAATCAGTTTAGTATTTGGCCTTAAGCATCTCAACGAAAAAAACTTTTCTTATCATATTTGAAAGATATGAATAGTAAAATATCAAATTAGTAGGGAAAATGATAAAGGAGTTTGATACAACGCAGTAATATGGTTAATTTATATATATTCGACTAGATTTATTACTCTGTCCTACTGGAGATTAATTACAACGATAATAAGCCGCCATATTGATAATAGCTTGATTAGTTTATAATATTGAATTCATAAAGGAATTTCCAAACTCACTTTATATTGCTTTATATGCTAACATAGGTTCCAGTAACAAATTTAATAATACGGGGGGGGACAGGTTTGTGGAGACCGCTTGATGTTATTTAGATCACGAAGTGACCTAAATTAGGCAGCTATTGGAATCAAGGAAGCATACGACAGCTGTTATGTCTTAGTATGGGATTCATTTACAGTGAACATCCACAACCTCAATGAGGATCGAACCTAGGTTATGCAGATATAGCAGCAATCGATTAACC